AAAACCAAAGTTTTGTATTTACACTTTTTGATAAACAAGCACTCCTCACAATATGGAACTATTCACAAATTCTTACTCAGCTACCACAAAGACAACTCGTCTAAGTCTTTCTTGGTGGTAAATGTTTCAACTTAAGGGTTCTCGAAAACTTTGAAACAACGAGTATATTTCAGGGTAGTGCTAAAAGCAGTAATCCTGATACAAACAACCCGAATGGTTATCTCATGTGTATGAATAAGTAACACATGTCATGCCGCGGTCGAGTATTCACTCCATAGTGACACAGGCGGATACATGGAGAGTAAAAACAGAGGAGTTTTAAGACAAGATTAACGAAGACACCATTTACAAGGAGAGTAGGACATAATTGCAGCAATTAACTAGCCAAAAGAAGTGGCTATTTGGATCCAACTTCTGCGCCATATGACCTCCCTTACATTGAGAATTGAGGTATCTAAGTAGTATTTCGGAAGCATGATAGGCCACCTGTATCTACGACGTTGGTAATTATGTCGAAAGAAAAGACTAAGTTTATCCACTTAACAGATAAAAAGTAAAGTCCTCCAGGCAACATCTAGACCGCAGGAGTCCGTACCCAACCAGAGTACTCCTACAACTACTACTAGTAATAATAATAATAATAATAATATATCCTCAAATAACGATATCACATAGGGCGGTCCAGTTTACAGGCATGACCGAACTGTTACAAATGCTACAGAATTTGCTGTTAATTTGCTGCTGATTTGTCTGGTGGCCATGCTGATCTCAGTTGTTGGTGGGCCAACATCGATTAGGAGGTCCTTAGGTGCTACTTCGATGCTGAGTGGGTTCAATGGAACTGATCTATTCAAGAGTTCTTTGATGTGTTCTACCCACATGTTTCGTTGTCCTTCAATGTTGATGATAACCTTGCTTTACTTGCTTTCACTGGTCGTTCTGGTTTACGGTAATTTCCATCAACTTTCCTTGTTGTGTCATACAATTATCTCATGTTTCCTTCTCTTGCAGCCTTTTCCACAATCATTGCTAAATCTTTCACAAATTTCCGCTTGTCAGCTCTGATGCTCCTCTTTACTTGCTTGTTTACTTCTGTGTATTCGGCTTGTGCCTTGACGTTTTCTGCTCTTGTTCGGCTGGTATTGATTACTAACTTCTTGTTCCTCCATTCTTCAATCTTATCCAGTGTACCAACAGTGATCTCTTCCTTGTGGTGGTGATTATTGAGGCCCAGAACCTCCTAATATGTTGAGTTGATTGCCTCTTTTATCCTTTTCAGTTGCTCACCATAGTAGTTCCCTCTCGCTTTAGTAGATCATGAAACGTCTGTAACTTGTTGCTGAAAGCTATCATGAGTTTGTCAGTATCATGAAGAAAAGCCGTATTAAACTTTTGTGATGTCGTCTACCCCGTTGTCCACTATCCTTTCTCCTGAATCTTTTGTTGATGCAGATATGGTCGATTCGGTTCTGCTTAGAGTGGCCCGGTGACATACATGTGGTTTTGTGAATGCGTTTGTGTGGGAATATAGTGCCACTTATGACCAGTTTATTGAAGGCACATAGGTTTGCAAATCTCTCACCATTTTCATTCCTTTCTCCCAGTTCATGTCTTTCCATGACGTCTTTGTATCCAGTGTTGTCCATTCCAACCTCGGCACTTAAATGACCCATCAGAATGGTCAGGTCCTTTGTTGGGCACTTCTCGACGATCGACTGCAGCCTATCGTAGAATTGGTCTTTAAAGTCTTCATCGTAGTCATTAGTCGGCGAATAGCATTGGATGACGTTCATTGTAATGCCCTCTCTCTTTGTTTTGAAGGAGGCTTTGATGATCCTTGGTCCATGAGATTCCTATCCAATAAGTGCATTTTGTGCTTGTCTGGACAGCATCAATGCCACTCCTTGTGTATGTGCGGCATTTTCTTCTTCATGACAGGAGTATAACAGAAGCTCCCCTGAAGATAGTCGTTGCTGTCCAACCTGTGTCGAGTGTGTTTCACTGATCCCAAGCACATCCAGATCGTATTTCTTCATTTCTGCAGCAATTTGGAACTCTTCCGGTCTCCCACATCGTCCGAACGTTCCATGTACCTATAAAAATTGTTGCTCTGGTTGTTATTAGGGGCATCGGCCTATATATCGAAAGTGTTTTAAATATATCTTCGGACCTATTCATTTTCTGGTTTCTGATTTGACTTGATAGGCATACTTCGATTATAGGAGTGTTCAGTGAAAAGGTATTGTTAGATTCCGAATACTTGTGTCATCTCTACGTCAATTAACCGCAATGAGTGAAGCCAAACCCTTTTTCACTGATCAGTCTTCAAGACTTTATTCGTCATCACTCATTATAGTTATCTATTCCCCATATCCTATGTTAAGTCTCATCAGTGCCATCTGTGATAATTAAAAGTACTTGAACTATTGTATTAGCTAGGAATTCCGAAAACGTTGAGATTTAAGCCAAATAGAACTGGGTGAGTACAAACAAACGTACTGTATTTAAATTTCGAAACCAACCAGGAATGAAGTACAAAATAATCATTAGTTCAAACAAACACCACAATATCACACACATTTATCTGTTGCTCTACCTGTCCAGTCAATCATTAATTTAAGTATTTTCCAACCATAGATCCCTGTCCACCTACTCTTTCCACTTTTAATGCTAAAATCTGCTTCATTACCACCAATAATCCGCTTGCCATGACGACTACCGTTTAGACAAAGACAGTGCCTTTGACCAAACACATTCATCATACCGGGGCTTATAAATATAAACATAACTTTCAAGGTTACCAGGACTAGTGAAGCTGAGTGGCCGGGCTATGTAGTGATCTTAAAAGTAGATTTACCAAAACACATTAATACACAGAACCTAATTGTTACATCCAAATGCAATAGATGAGGGAGTTGCACGTAGAACGTATATATATACATAATGAGAGAAAATCTTATTATGGGTCGCGCGAAAAGAATGTTACTTCAAGATCCTATATAGGAAACACCATAGATCCTGTTTACTCAATTGGTCGGCGGCATGGAGGAGGATCTTAACCTCAATGTGTCAAAGGCGGGGAGAGATAAAAGTCCAGGCAAGCAAATAGTGGCCAAAAATGCACACAACACAATGTATCCTGCACAATTACAATTCCTCTTTTTCTTTTTTACCAAGACGGCTGGAAAGATAGAGGACTGACAAAGTTTACGATGAATCGAAATTTTCATTGTACTTTTTTCATCACTTTTATTTAACACACGACCCTTATATTAGGAAAGGACGACTAGATGCTGCTGAACATAGTGAGCTACCAAACGATTGTTTACCAACAACAAGCTCGTCGGGTTTAAACTTCTAGCTAGCCACGTCTCAGTGTCGTCACATATCATGTCTAACTACTGACCTGTCAGTCCAACTAGTATAGTAGTTAAATTCCTTGACAAAATAATTCGTGTTAAGTTATTAACTAACAAAGAATCATAAAATCTGTTAACTCATGAGCAACATGGGTTTTGTAAGAAGCATTCATGCTTCATTAACTTATTGCGGGGGAGGATTGAACAGCAGCCCCTGATAACGGTCTGTCTGTCGATGCGATATTCATGAACTTCAGCATGGCATTTGACAAGGTTTCTCATTCGGGTCTAATGTAGATACTGTACAGGAATGAACAGGAAGCTTCCTATGTGCTCGCACACAGACGGTAATGGTTATGGGGTGCCATCTGGGTGGAAGCCGGTAAAAAATGGCGCATCCCAAAGCACCGTCTTAGTTCCACTACTTTCGTACACTAACTGTGCTAAAAACGCATTTCAAGAAAATTTTGTACTGGTAACATTGAAGCGCATTTTTGGCCAGTTTGACTGCAGAGCTTTCCACGCAGTCTTCAACAGTTTTATTCGTCCCCATTTAGAGTACGGAAACATAGTATTTCCTCCCTCCCTCCAAAAGGACAAGGACACTCTGGAACGTATCCAACGACCAGCCACGAAATCAGTTGGGGGACTCGAATTCAAACCTTATGAAGAGATCCTCCAATCACTTAACATTTACCTGTTAGAGTGCAGGCGTTTTAGCGGTGACCCTCTTATGACTTACACTATCCTTAACACTTTTGATGATCCCCTTAAACATCTATTTAAGCTTAGTCACAACACTAACCTAAGGGGTAACGCCCAGAAGCCGGAGACCCAACATAGAACAGACTATAGACAAAACGTTTACTCCATAGGAGTTGTCAAATGCTGGGATTCTCTGCCGAATGAGTTAGTCCAAGTGACTTCCCAGGAGTACTTTAAGAGGAAGCTTGACCTATTCTTAAGGAATATGGATAACATATTATTTTGATTTACCAAACTTTTTTTCTCTATTATCGTTAATATACCTGGGTTCTTGCTTGTAGGTATTGGCGATCCAGTGCTACTAGACACGGAAGCTCGTTAAGCGTAAGCTATTCCGTCCACAACCATTTGAACCATTTGAAGGTTACATTCTTCTCATCGAGTGGTCAACGACCGGAACGCCTTACCCAAAGGAGTGGTATCAGCCCCATCAGTGGACATTTTCAAAGAGAAATTGGGCCTTCACTGGAACACAAACTGTAAGGATTAACACATGTCCATCAAACTACTTTCCTTATTACTAAAGACTATAGTTAATTGCTGTAACACTTTAACAGAAGTGAGAAGACGAAGTAAGTAAAAGCAAACTTATCAGATCAGCATGGAAAAGAAGCATAAAGTTACGTGACAAGTTAATCACATTAACACCGGAGCATATAAACGAAGACTTAACTAAGTATACAATACCACAGAAACTAAAGAACATATAGTATTTTAAGATCACAAAGATTTTTGATTTTCTTGCCATTGCTAATATCCACTTCGCACGATTTTAAAGACCTTGAAGGATCCTGAAACTAGGGAGAAAAAGCAAATAAACAGAGTTTCTTTTTACACTAGCTCCCCACAAGGAATTTGGACATTGGATAGTTGTGCGTTTTTGGAAGTTGGTGCTACCCAGTCCATACGACAGAGATGGAAAAGATTGCAATTCTAGATGCAGGTGCGCAATACGGAAAGGTATATGATATTCAGTATAGTTCAATATTGTCAACTTTTGCTAGGTTATCGACCGACGTGTTCGGGAGCTCTCTGTTTTTTCTGAAATGTTGCCCATCAACACTCCTATCGAAATGCTTATGAAAGCTGATTACAAGTAGTGTTCTACTTTATGCTTTCTAGTGCTTTGTAGGGCTTTTATAATCTCAGGCAGCCCTGACTCAGTTTATCAGTCTGCTAGTTGCACATGTGATCCCAAACTCTTTGACGCAAACGTTCCTGTTCTGGGGATTTGTTATGGAATGCAAGTAAGCTTCCGAATGTTTTGTTCCTCTAGAATCTAGCTTATTAACAAAATGTTCGGTGGTCAAGTGATGGAGGGCGACACTCGGCAAGATGGCGTATTTAAAATTGACTGTGACACAACCTCCCCTTTATTTGAGTAAATCAGTTCCCAATAATATGTAATAAATTTATAGAGGCTTGTCAAAACAGGAGCACGTATTGTTTACCCATGGAGATCACTGCGTTACTGCCGCATCAGGATTTAAAGTCATAGCCAAGTCTAGTTCCAACATAGCTGGTTTGTTTGTTTCATTCGTATTTATTTACCGTTTAGGTATCGCAAATGATGAAAAACGACTTTATGGAGTTCAGTTTCATCCCGAGGTGGATCTCAGTACATGCGGCTTGAAAATTTTAAAGAATTTTCTGTTCAATATATGTAACCTTAAGGGAGACTATAAAATGAGTGATAGGGTAGAATTGTGCATTTCAAAAATACGTGAAGCCGTCGGTCAAAATAAAATCTTGGTAAGTTATCCCAAAAAGCGGAATCTCAAGATTTCTGGGATTTTGTGGTGACATTTGAACACACTAGGTCCTAATGTGATCGTTTTTGCACATACTCCTATAATTGCTTCTTTGTCAGTTCATATCGTTTGCGTAATATGTACATCGTAGTTTATTAGTAAATATTTTCATTCGGTTATAACTTCAAACTAATTCACTACTTCGGCTAGATAATGTAAGCTGGAAATTTTACTCGTTGTTTAAGAAAGGTAGCTCATTCCTCTTACAAAACAAGAGTTAGGCCAAGCGATCGCTATTGTTATATTAGTAATTAGTAGTCAAATGGTAGACGCAATTCAGCAAAGTATGACTTCCACGTTTTTACTAATTCCAATGTTTCATGCGAGTGCACGTTATTCGTTAATTATTACCGGATTAAGGTACGGTTGACAACTGCACCGTTATTGTTTCGTACAGTCATTGATTGTTAGCATGGTTCGTGTTGGCAGATGTAGACTTCGTTGTTAAGGTCTGCACGGTAATTATATTCATCATTTGAAGACCACGATTGATATCGGTCAAAATTGATAACAATGGAGATGTGTTCATTTTTAACCCCCCAAATCTTTTCAATACAATACCCCCATATTTCATCTATTCTTGCTCAGATGCATCGAGTTTTCTGATGTTGTATAGATTATGTTCATAAAACGGCTCAGTCTCAGTTTCTCTCGCTTTAATAATGTAAAGTTTGTCGCACTACTTTATTTATTTATTTAAAACATATTGGTACAAGGAGGCACCGAATGCATGTGCGCCACACTTCGTCATTTGATTTGTGTTAGGGCTTGAATATTGGCCGGGTGCCCAAACAGAAGCGGGTCGTTTCCTTAGGGGGCAACTCCCCGAGGCTTTGACCTAGATGTCTAATCCACGAGGCAGTGAAGCAACGTCAGGTGCAGCCCCATGGTAGCCAGTGACCAACAATACATTCATGCGTCATTTGTCCCCTCATGGTACTGGAGCCCATGTGCACCATTGGTTTGGAACCAGGGTTTCGCAACCTCTCTATGCTGATCCTTCTTATCCATCAACTCTGTTGAAGCACCGGACATTCGCTTTTCGTCTTCTCGATTTCGTAAACAACAGACCTGCCACGAGAACGCAGTGAGTAGAAATTCTCTGGTAGTGGCTGTACATGTGAGAGCATTTTGACAGCAAGAGCGGACTTTCCTGACACTCGACCTTACCAGGGCATTCGGGGCCTAATCGTCACGTAGGAAAGGTTCATATGACCTCTTGTCACACTAAAAAGGGTTCATATATTCAAGGTATGAGTCTTCAGCAATGTTTTCATTTTTGTATGCAAACTGGATAGAAGCGTCATACTTCAATGTTTCTTTTCAACCTTACCTAGATAATCCTGATATTTGTTTTAGATTTTACTGAGTGGCGGCGTTGACTCCACTGTATGTGCAGCCTTGCTATCAAAAACTTTGGATCCATCCCAAATCATTGCTGTTCACATTGACAATGGTTTCTTAAGAAAAAATGAATCTTTAAGAGTGATAGAATCATTAAAGTCATTGGGAATTAAAGGTAATTACATTCTGTTGCATTATCTTACTTTACCCAGTCCATCTGATCAATGCAGGTCTTCGATTCTTATCAGGGACTACAATGCTTCACGTCGATGTAATGACAGAGGCTTTGGCACCTGCTTCCGTCAGTCCTTCCAAAACACAATCTGATTCTGGTAATTGAGATAAATAGGATTTCTGATTATTAAATTGTATTTATAGAAATAAGCACAGGAACATCAGACGAGACGTCAGATCCAAATACCAAAGAGTGCAGATCGACGCTAGATTCAATGGCATACTCCCAGTCTACGGATACATCTAACACTAAAAGACAGTCACATGTCAGTGGTGGTGGAATTCACCCACATTTAGAATCAAGAAACATTCCCATTGGACCTCTTAGGACAGTCACTATTTTCCCCGAAGATAAACGACAGATTATCGGTGATACTTTTGTGCGTGTTGCCCAAGAAGTATGGACTGAACTTCAGTTAGATCCTAGTAGTTTAATGCTCTGTCAAGGTATACGGCTATTTTTCATTTTTGTTGTCCCAAAGTGTTATTTTAATAATGTCCATAAAAATGATTGTCATTGTTTATGGCAGCTGTTGTTTCTTTATATTTTTGTACATGTTTGATGATACCTTACGTATCAAACTTTTTCTACCGTAGGTCATATATACTGGACTTCTCTAAACAATAGTAGTGTGGTATGCACATGGGCTAACTCATGTAGCTGTACTTAGTCTAGTTTGATAATATAGATGAAGTTTCTCAGAGACGCAGGAAATATCTCAGGCGACATTAATTTTCATGACATCAGATGAACTTTCCAATACCTAGTTAACATAAATCAGAGCTCGGATAATGAAGTAATATACGTCCGTCTTATCCCCTCAATAGCCGTTAATCGGTTAGTCGAATAATATCATAAAGTGGTAAAATGTGGCTGTAGCAGAGAGCCCTGTTAAAATAAAGTCGTGTTCAAAAGGATGATAGTTTTTAAAACAGAAGTTGACTCACATATTTCGAGATAATCGCTGTTCGATGAATATTAGGTTGGTGTTACTTACGAGATAAATGCTTGTGACAAAAATCCAAAGCTAAGCAAGTATCTATAAGTTCGTCTGCTTCACCCCTCATTTCTAAACTAGTTGTCACTAACTACCTGTCCTTGAATATTATATTGTATTTGGCAGGTCAGAACACGTATCTAACTTTTATTCGTGTTTTGTAATACGTCTGTGTCTTCGCTTATTATTGTTTGCTTACAGTTAATAGGCTGGATCTCGGGATGAATTTTTCAGCAAGAGATAAATACATATCTCGATTATCATCTCTTAAAATGTTACATAATGATGATGAGTATTTTTCGATCCACTCCACTCATAATCGCTTCAGATAACAATTTTCCGTATGGTCTAAAAATGCAAGCAACAATATGTCTGTTGATTAAATCCATTTTATACAACTTTCTTACACATTGAACTATTACATAATATTATTTCCCGTCTTTTTAAATAGTCTCTACTTGGTGAGTGTTGGTATTGCTTTTTAGTCAGATTGTTCCAACAAATAATATATTTTTATTATTTTACTAGGGACATTGAGGCCTGATCTAATTGAATCCGCATCTAATTTAGTAAGTCAACGAGCGGATACAATTAAGACTCATCACAATACAACCACATTGGTTCAGATTCTACAGAAGCAGGTTGGTTAACGCGAAAATTCCAATTATTATGACAAAAAGCTTTTTGTTGTCTGCAGATATGTTTATGATTTAAATTTACTATTAGTTTAAGAATGGAATATATTTATCGTATATATTTCAAGATGAAGTGGAAAACAAATTTTGTGTGGACGTCTCAGAAATTCAAGAAATTTTAAGTAACCATATTTTGTGGAAATGGAGGTTAAAAGCTTCATACGACTTTCTGGTTATCTGATGAGACTCCAAGGGGAACAAGTGCATATATTCATGGCTTTGATGTTGAAGTTCTGACGACAGATGCATTCATTCTAATTTGTTTGGTGGAATTCACTCTTCAGGAAACTAGCTTTATCCCCTTATTATTTAAATATATCATTAATCAAATAAGTAGGAATCCAACACCTACTGCCGATGGCCTCGTTAGAGAGTATATGAGATATGCTATGCTCAAAGGCTAAAGAATTAGTAACAGTGATATACAGAAATAGGTCTCAACGTTTTGATGAAAAGTTTGACTATAGTACAAGTCTCAGTTTATAAATATGTATTATAAAGATTACTATGCAGTCTGATTTGAGTTACGAAAATCTCAACATGAGTTACCGTAATGAGGTGCAAACTTTCCTATCATATACAAACTATTTATATACTACATTATAAGCGTTTAATTTTCTCACAACGAACTGTTTTCTAAAGATTATTGTTCTATTCAACTGGTGATAGTATAGAAAGCTTGAATTTGACTGTATAGTGTAGAATTTCTGTTTGGAATACTAAAATAGATGGTAGAAAAAACTACTACTAAGTACTGGCTACTCTTGAATTCTATATCTATCATTCATGCCTTCTATTCTTCAACTATGATTTCATAAACATAGAACTTTGTTGTTTATTTTTTGAAGGGTCGGGTTGTTGAGCCACTTTCGGACTTCCATAAGGATGAAGTTAGACAGATTGGTAGGCAACTTGGACTTCCTGAGGCTATTGTCAACCGACATCCTTTTCCTGGTCCAGGTTTAGCAGTTAGAATTTTGTGTGCTGCAGAACCCTACATTGAACGAGATTTTTCGGAGACAACAAGTCTTATAAAAATGATCTCTGGATATCACCAAATGTCGCAGAAGGTTGGTTTGTTGTGAGATCTTTACCAATCGTCTTTGAAAGAATAACACTTATGCCAAGCTTTATCGCTTATACAGTAATCGAATTCGGCTCCTCAATGTAATACTTTGTGATCTAGTTATTTTTTCACTTAGATTCAGTCTTGTTAGAAAGTTTCACATGGTTATCATGAAATACGTTAGAGATGTATCCTGGTACTTACAAACCTGATATGTAGCAATCAAAAAGTATTTAGGAGTGTACACTCTCGTTTCTCATGGTAACAATGAGGACGCATCGGATAATAGGCATATATTCATTTGAAAAACAGTGCATACACTTACGAGTGGTTGCTTTCTTGAGTAAAACACAAGAGAATGTAATTTTTACTGCTTCAATCATTTCACACGTAGCCATAACAGGAAGACAACAAAGGGGCACTTAATGTTCATCACTTGTATAAGAATATAGAAGACAAAGTAACCCTTAAAGCTTCACGCCTGTAGTTATCGCTCTGAGGTAAAAATTCTCTCATTCAACCGTCAACAGTTGTGAGGATAAGAAACCCAGGAAATCTATTCTATCTCCAAATGATGATGACGCATTGTGGAATGCATAAAGATTTCTAGAAAAAAACACCAGATACCTGACTTTTATCGTGTTAGATTCAACTAGTTTAAAAAACTAGGACCGAAAAAACCTATAATTTTTTAATTAGATTTAGTTAACTTTTAGATAACTATTGTCAACCTTAACCCCGTTAGAAATTTCAGTCACATTGACCACAGAAAAAGCGCCAGAATTTGTTTCACAGTATTTCTATTACTGGCAAAAGTCTTCAGTTACTTTTGGAGTTATGTATATTGTTTATCGGTATTAACCTCTATAAGTACTTGTTTTCATAATGATTTACTACATTTAACGTATATTATCATAATTTCAGCTAGTTATCATTTTGTTTTCCAACAGCCTCATGCACTTTTAAACAAAATCAATGCTGCTGCTAGACCTGAGGAACAACAACGTTTATCAAAAATTACAGCAAATCGGTCTCTAGCCGCTTATGTTCTACCTATTCGTTCAGTTGGCGTGCAAGTATGATTTTGCTAATATGAAATACATGTTCTATCGTTAATCTGTTTGTTTTCAAAATGATTAAAATTCACACCCTTAAACCTCTATAAACTGCGTAATAATTACTCTAATTTCAAGCTTTGTTTACAATCTTTCCATTTTAATTCTATTTTAGGGTGATCATCGTACTTATAGTTATGCTTGTGCTCTATCTAGTTCAACTGCTCCAGATTGGGATGCCCTTTCGTTTTTGGCTAATTTAATACCTAGGATATGCCATAATATCAATCGGTAGGTTCATTATTGCTATCCGAAATCTTTGTGACTTGTTTTATTGATCAACTGTCCACTTGGATTCTGTTATATCACTTCCATAGACTGTCCTAGCCAGTTTAGTTGTGTACGCGCATACTTAGTTCATAATATTATAAAAATTATCTGGAAAATGTGTTTGGGTACTTTTTTTCTGTCAGCCAAGGGTCTGAAGATAAGTGTACAGCTCACATACGTTTAAAAACATACTGGTTTATTAATCCATCACTGATTAAAAGCATATCAGGTTTGCATTTCTAGATACACTCTAGTGAATGGTGCTCATTTAGTTTCTAAACCCTTGCTAACTAGCAAGGGTACGGCCGAGAGTGGGGAGAGTCACCTCTCCCTCTCGAAATACTCTCATATGGCCAGCGAATATATAGCCTCTGCCAGGGAAGTCCCACTCACTGCCTTCTCGTGGCAGGGGTGTTGTGTACGAAAGTGAGAGGACGAAAAGCGAATGTCCGGCGCTTTAACCGGGTTGGTGGACATGGAGGGTCCACCTAGGGGAGTTGGAAAACCCTGATTCCAAACCAGTGGTGCACATGGGCTCCAGTATCCTGAGGGAACAAATGGCGTACGAATCAACTGTTGATCACCGGCTACCATGGGACTGCATCTCCTCACGATGCTTCACTGCCTTGTGGCCCAGATATTCAGGTCAAAGGCTCCGGGTGTGGCCCCCTAAGAAAACCACCTGCTTCAGTTTGGGCACCTGGGCAGTATCACAGCCCTCACACAAATCGAATGTGATTTGTGAGGCCCATATGTATCTGGTACTTTCTTGTACCAATATTTATGTGTTTAAATAATAATAAAATAACGAGTACCTAAATTGTGCTATCAACCTCGCTCAATAGAGGAAAAACTAACCTACATACTTTGTTAGGACTGCAACTGGTCAGTCTCTAATTGGCATATGTGCATACTGTGCGTATTGCCTCGATATACCTTAATTCACAAGCATGGTTAGCAGAGATGGATAGTGGCTAGCAGTGGAATCCAGGACGCGCGTTTCGTCCTATTTGGGACTCGTCAGCTGGATCTACCTGCATCTCAGAGTTGATGTTCACTCTGGGACTCGAACCCAGTACCCTCGCTTCAAACGCCATCTCGTTATCCACTCGGCCACTGAGTCCTGATAGCCATTTGCAGTCCTAACAAATCGATGGGAAGATTCAAACAAACAATACTAAGTTGAATTTAACCTACATACTGTTATATTTCCATGATGGTATGTTTTAGATCGTATGTCGTTTTTGTTATATTGAAAATAACATAAGCCTGAGTGCATAAAATGAGTTACTAGTCCTTTGGATTCCAATTTAATACGAAATATTTATTCCATTCAATTATAAATTTACGGAATATTTATCAAATGCAAATAGATTCTATAATTCACGGTGAAGTTGATATTCTTATTTCCTATGTTTATTTCAGCGTAGTATATATATTAGGACCACAAGTTGTTCATCCAGTAAATGATATTACAATTACTTACCTTCGAGAACCTGTTATCGATACTCTTCGAGAAGTCGATGATAAGGTTATGTCAGTACTTCATAACAATGGTTGTATGAACAACGTTGATCAAATGCCAGTTGTTCTTATACCGATTCATTTTGACCGTGATCCAAGTCAAGTAGTATCTATTCCTTCTGTTTTACGGTCAGTTGTACTCAGACCTGTGAAATCAGCTGATTTCATGACTTGTATTGCTGCTGTTCCCGGTGTTCATATTCCAGAAGATGTATGTAATTGTCTACAATATTATTTGTTCTATATTTATGTTAATTTTATGAATGCATTGTTTTTCTGTATGTTTTATGTTCGCGCGCCTAACTCAGTCATAGTTTGTCAAAATAGATGTCAAATAATAAGTAACTGGTTGTTCAAATTTCCATGCTAGATAAGCCTAAGTAAAAAAAGAACAAGAGAAAAAGTTAAAAACAAACAGTATCTACGGTTTTCCAACCTCGGCATAATTTTATATCTAAGTTCGAAGTTTTGAACCATAGGACCAATACGATTTTTAGGGTGAATCCAAAATACGTTGCTGAAGTGCAACATACATTCATATAAAACACGGATTTTTAAAGTGTAGTGAAAAGCAGAGTGCATTTAGAATGTAGTATATTTACTCAATGAATTCCAAGCAATGCGATTACAAACTTATTTATCAAATGATTTTACGTGAAAATGAAAAGATGTGACAAATAAAAGTTATAATTAGAAGCACTAGAAAGGAAAGATAATATCATGCATAAACGATATCATACTGTCACATAGCGTCCATACTTGTACAGGATAGTATAGGGTTTTTTAAAGCTTCTAGATAAATACGGGTTCTGAGAACCGTTATGGACACCATGAATAGTATTGTAAGAGAAAATCTTTTAACAGAATAATCTGTGTTGACAGTTGCGAGAGAATATGAAGAGAAAAAGTATTACATGATACTTTTAACTACGCTTCATAAAAGTGTATTCAGCCGTTTGGTGGTATTTTACGTTCTGGTAGTAAGATTGGATAAACCTCAAATGTTTTGATAAATTGTACATGTATTTCTATTGTTTTCTGTTTTATCCCACCATTAACATATTTATGACTAGAAAAATAATAGACATTAGCAAAGCTATATAGGCTTACGTGTTTGACTGAAAATTATACCTCTGAAGAACGTTCACTTACTCAATAAATTATTTTATTCCATTATGTAACAAGATTTCACCTAATTTGTCCGGAAAAAGCTATGAATAAATTTTAATCTTCGTTAAGTGTCTACTATAAGTAGTGTGAAATTATTTTGAAAACATCTTTTTGAAGTTGGCAATTAGACTTCAACATAATGCAACTAGATAAATCAACCACTGTTTCTTGCCTTCTTTGGTTTATGCTATATCCACAAGGGTTACTGGGACCGAAGCGAGACTTCAAAGTGTTCATTATGAATAAATTACATTTGAAAAAATTTAAACATTACCAAGTTTTGATTTGATAATTTTGAATAAATTGAGCATTGGGTAGATAAATAACCAAATTCACATTAATCCGAGTTAACTTGGATTTATTCTCTGAAGAAGTGGCTTACACTGAGTCACAAAACGTCAGAAAATCTAATTTTTCTACTCATTGGGATATTACAAATATATTATTTTCATTTATATCAAATGGAAAATTGACCACTGCGGTTAACAATCGGAATCTATAATACATATGATTGTATCTGAATTAAACCATTTGTCATGTTGGCCATTTTATCATTACGCTTTTAATGGTAGCTATTGTTTTGAAATATTATTGTAGTTTTCAGCTAATTTATCAACATAATCACTACTGTTGTACAATAAGTATTACTAATTATTATACCTTTTATGAATACCAACAATGCAATTTAATTGTACTTCAGTGAGTATACAACAAAAAAGTTTGTAATATAACCTATTATTTAAGTGAGAAATATTTTTACCTTGTTAGTATTTTGTATTTGTGAACGTTAATATTATCTCTATCTAGAAATGCTTAGCATGTTTTATCTTTGTGTATAGGTTGTTTACAAAATGCAGAAAGCTGCTGAGGAAGTACCTGGAATATCTCGAGTTTTATATGATCTTACTTCGAAACCACCAGCAACCATTGAATGGGAGTAATTAGTAATATTATTCTTTTAGTGTGTGTTTGTATGTGTGTATGTGTCCATTCTGTGTTTTTACGATTTCTTCAAGAGATTATCCTCTAATTTCTTCATATCTGCACAGTTAGCGTCATAGTAACAAAGTGGATTTCTCGACCATGCGTTTATGATACTGTTGTTGTTGTTATACAATACATTTTCGTTTGAACTTATTTCAGTTCTCTACCAATAATGAATTTAAAAAATCTTACTGTATAACCTGCTTTTTTTGTTCTCAAAAATCCTGCTTTGTTTCTATTCTTTATCCTCTATTCATTAAATGTATAAGATTTACTGATTGATAAAAATGACTTGTTTTCTTTTGAAACAAAAAATATAGACACCTAAGTTATTCAGTTGAAAGCTGTTCCCTTTTGTCATATATCATGTGCAGTGTTTTTGTACACATGTATGGATCAGTATCGTTAACACATTGATTATTATTAAGTTATAAGTCAGTATTATTTTATTCTGGATAATAAAATAAATCTTATGTTGGAGCTTTCTGTTCAATGTTTATATTTTAAATTAAGTTATGAGAACATTATCTAAAGATAAAATGTAGAATAAACCGTATATTATGGTCATATTATGATTTAGTAATCATATGCTTTATATAATACTGACGGTTATCAAACTATCTTCTGTAAAAAAACCATATAGTTAAGATAGCCTGGTTGAGTATCTGTTATGGTATATATATATATATATATATATATATATATATATATATATATATATTGGTTATATATAGTAACACTTCAACGATAACAAAGTCATAGGAAGACGAAACTTCTAGAAAAGCTTTTACGTCTCAAGTAAAGACAATTGAATGAGTAACATAGCATTACATATATAATATATTGCATACTGTCATAATCAATATGAATAGATATAAATTGCGTAAGATAGCCAATAGATTTCAATATTGACTTAAGTTAATCATTACACCTGAAGTACAAGAACAGTAATTGAATTCAAGTGGGTTAATACTGAACATAAACAATGGTCACTTAAAAAAGTTGCCTAAATATATAATTTATCATATATTATACTTAAGGAAATCAAAACATCCATGTTCTTTCCTTCCGTGGGAACGACACTAAAAGAACAGAAGTTAATTAATAAAAACAAACATGTTATCGTGTCTCAACAACATAAGTTTCTCACGGTTTATCTTACAGGTTGCTTTCTTAATTAGTAAGCTCAATTCAACTATATAAATTTAGTAGGTTAAAAATAGGTCGCAATATTAATATAGGATTTGTTACTGCTTAGCGTATTTCGATTGAATGTCCATGATCATTTGTTAGACAGCGAATGAACTAAACGTGTCCGTTTATGGATGTGAGAAAAATGAAGTTTTCTGAGTTGAATTTATAGTAGTCTTAAGGAATGTAGTTTTGAAGTATGTCTGACTTTTTTGTTTAAAATAATTTTATGTAAATAACCGTATTTATATAAAGAGGGACTGAGTTTCTATTTGTAACAGATGTGGTGAATGCAAATAAATTGAACTCTGGTGTCTTTTGTACGGATCAGTAGTGATGCCGTTTATAATGATTCCAGAAAACCTTAATGCGCAGGATTTTTGATAACAGAATATTTGATGTAAGGTATACTTGATACTTTTATTTGTAATGCGAGCAGTTTAATAGGTTACTATTATGACGACTTGTCGGTGGATGGTGTTTTACCTGGTTGTAAACCAAGTCAAGATCGAAGTTAACTATTGGACAATCATTTGCTATTCTTCCTTTAGACATGTGGTCAACAGATTGTTTCTATCATGTTAGTAAATCAGTTTGATTGGTTATGCAACTGTTTAGAGTTTGACCAATTAAAAGCGTCTTTGTTGAGTGTGTGAAATTCATTACATATTTTGCAAACCTGAAATTATACTTAAAAAGGTTATTTATTTACTTGTCCATTGCAGCTGCTATACGAGATCTAAATATCCCATTGTGCTTAGTGTAAGTCTCTTTAGCTGATAAGATATGAGTAGAGATCGTGTAACCTATGCAAGAGAACATTTCGTGTTAGTCGTGTTTTGATCCTGTGGAATAAAAAAACAAACCTAATATCAGAAAGGGGATTTATGGAGATTATAGTAATTTAATAGGTATGTTCATCAGTCAATTGAAGCTAAACCATCATGGAAAACCTGTTAGGTTTTTTAAATGTAACGTTTTGGTAAATAATCCAGTATGATGGACTACTTGATGTTTCTTTTTATTTGGAACACTATTTAGTTGTACTCTTAACATTCTTAGTAAAAATTGAATAGTATTGCGGTAAACGAAGATTTGGTGAGGAAAATTAATTCATTATATTATGCATATTTACAGAGTGACTCCATAAAAATATGAAAATCATACATTAAATACATTATTTGCATATCTTCCTTAAGTTGTCTTAAACATGTTTCATGATTCTTTCGATTCTGTCGTTATTACAATTGGTCTCTATTTCCCTTTCTCTTCACATCAATTCAGTCTTCTGCTTTCAGGCATTCCACTTCGGATTATCATATTTTAATAAAATGTTCTGTAATGTTGTGCTAAAATACATCCGATTGTCCCCACTCGTGTTCATGTTCACTACAATATGACCTTGTTTGACACCTAAATAAATCAAAATGATACATGAATACATCATTATTTTTAATGTGATTTATTTACAATTATATTTGTATAAACTGAACTGAATGGTTTTTAAAGACCAATCGATCAATAACGCAACATGTAAACACATCCACATTATCATATAGTTAAGTATCTATAACCAACATATAAAATTAGTTGACCAAGTTATATGTTTACTTCTCATGATGTAATCAAATGGTAGAGATCATTAGAAAAAGAAATCAGTTTCATATATCATTTGCACTCAAATCAATTCAGCTAATATTTGCCATATCATTAGGGAAGGTTGTAGTGGCCTAAATCTGATTCCTTTTTGATCGTACGTACTGTCTATCCTCGTATGTAATAAATGACTTTATCCGCGCTGGTGAATAACGGAATTAAATAAGTCAAATACGAGAATGGATTTAGAATACATATATTTCCTACACTCATTGATCTGGCCAGGGAATCAGAACGATGAAGTAAATAGATGAGAGCAGAACATAAATGACATGTAGTGGAGATGGCGGAGAAGCCAACTCGAGAGTGAAGCAAAATAATGCGTAGTGGAGATGGCTGGGAAGCCAACTCGATTTAAGCAAGCGTTAATCAACATTTATAGTCGGACAAAAATGAGTGACAGACATACGAATACTTGATTTGTGTATAGACATCATAGTAGGGATTATCGTGAAATAAAAATTGCTAAAGTTTGGTTTAGATTGTCGCTGAGAATGTAGGAAACGACGATTGCTGAGTACCGATGATATGAATGAACATTAGTTGTACATCGAGAACATAAGTTCCTACTATCGGGAGTATGACTCCAAACTTATGTCTATGATAGAGTGTAATATTAGACCGAAAGTGACATGAAAAAAAAATTGGAACGAACTCACTCAAATCAGGAACAATTTACGTCATTGGATAATAAGAATAATCCAGTGAGTTTCGAATATCATAACGTGTACTGTCCATATAATTATAATTTGTTCGATTAGTGAGTTGACTGCGTAAATGTCATAGTTTAACGTTAATACGAACAAAAATAATAATTCCACGTTAGTTGATGATATGAAATTATTGTAATAATGAGCATATAGTGGTTATTCGAATCATAACAGAATATGTCGTCGACGGTTCCATTTTTGGTTTGTGTTCGCTCGTTGCGGTCACCAATTATGCAGTGAGTTCGTACGCAGAGGTTGTCGATTCTGGTCCATGTTCGTTCGGCGAGGCATCCAATTCTGTAGCGTCGTGCTCGTATGGCGAGGTATCCAATTCTGTAGTGTCGCGATTTGTTAATCGTTTACTTCGATAACCGTTATTATACCAATCTTATCGGTGTATAAAATCAGAAGGCAAAAGGAAGCGGCAACTACATTTTTTATTGATAAATGATGCAGATCAGAAAGCTGTGGGCACATGAGCAAGTGTAAGCGAGCGAAGCAAAGATGATGCATAGTGGAGATTGGCGGGGAAGCCAACTCGCTATGAGCAAGCATTAATCAACATCTATAGTCGGACAAAAATGAGTGACAGACATACGATGAATAAGATACGAAGTGTACACATATATGCTCATATAAAAGTATAGTCAAGGTTAATAAGAAAATGATTAACAAGATCAAAATATGACTCATGACAGGCGAATTGGCTTGGCCAGCAACTAGAATAAAGTATATGGGCTTAACATATAAACTGATACTACAAGGTAATGTTATCATTGAAATTATTAGTAACATGTTATACATGTTTCATTAATTCTATTATTTTAATGTACATGAAATGTGATTGATATAGATTTGATAAACAGCAACTACCATTTTCTGGAACTATCAGTCACAATTAATTACAAAGTTTCGTAGTTGATAATATATTGTATTTTAATAGATTTTCAACTCTTATAAATGTTTGGATATATTTTATTTAGATTGATATTATGAATGTTGGACCACAATTGAAAACCTGGAAGCACTGGACAGCCGTTTCGTTCTAGTATAGAACTCCTCAGTAGTGCGCATCCACGACCCCTCACGTGGGACTCAAACCCAGGACCTTCAGTCTCACGCGGGCCTCTAGGCCACTGAGCCAGTATCTAACGATGTTGAAGTCTAACTTCCACTGATCCCCGATGTTACCCGAAAGTCCACCATTATCTTCAGTAAGTAACTGTCTCACAACAGACACGGTTGAAATCCAATGGTCATAACGTCTCACTAGAACTCCAGGAAATCCATCTTGAAGCTAGCCACTAGTGAACACATGATTATTATCAGAATTCACAAGTCAATCTAGGCTTTGAGGAGTCCTATGCTAGGAAGAAACGGCCGTTCAATGCTTCCAGCTTTCCAGTTGTGGTGTAGCATTCATCCATTCATGATATCAATCTAAACTCAACAATCTCCACAACCCTATACTGATATATGTCATTGTATATATGGCGAATATAAATACCAAATTGTTCTGGTTCATGTAAATTTAATGCATTTAAGGTCAAACTATTCACCATAATAAATTATATATTTGTAATATCCCAATGAGTAGAAAAATTAGATTTTCTGACGTTTCGTGACTCAGTGTAAGCCACTTCTTCAGAGAATAAATAACCAAATTAACATTAATCCAAGTTTAAATAGTACAACGGAACAATCAAAGAATATTAGGTGATCAATCAAAAACAGGTCTGAATAAATCACTGTCACGTCATTTCATTTCGGTCAAGGTGATTCATAAGCGACATGGATGTAATTTTGTGTGTATGTATGCACTGTTAATAATGAAAACTGTGTGACCTTTATAATTACAAAGGATAGAGTTTGATTTGTAATGTATTGGTGTGAAATTGTAAATAATATCAGACTGAGTGACT